TCACAGAAACCAGATGTCCACAGAAATGATGTAAGTTGACAAAACTGCTCGCTAATTTAAAGACTTCAGCTGAGCTAGCTGCTAAGAAGGTGTTATAACGCCTTCTAGTTTTTCGGACACAGTCGGAACATACGAACGTCCTTCAAAAATAGCACCCCATGCGCGCAGAGTAGCCACTCGAATTGGGAACGCTGAGGCCTGATGTCACCTTGCATCCAGGCGTACACGCGGGCTGGGACTGGAGACAGAGTCGTGTAACCTAACACGGCCTCCTTGAGATACAACGAGAAAGAAAGATTGACCGGCATATGAGTGGTCATAGTGATAGTGCCCAGAGGAAAACACAGTAAGTCAGTGTGCCTTAGCGTGATAACTGTTGCTGTGTTCTGAGGACAGCTCAGTGTGTGCGCGACAGATGCCTCAGTGTCCTGATTAGGGCACAGTTGGTTCACATTGCCTTGGTGTCAATATCTTTATAACGGCTCGCTTGTTACTTGCGCAGTCTGGAATGCCGTACGGTGATTGCATGTCTGAAGTAAGCTCGGCGAAATCTGCGCCAATATAGCGGACCTGTGCCAGCTCTGCAACAGTATCTCCGTCCGGTCCAGCTACCACATTTGCGTAAACAAGCACTTGGGCACGCGTAATCCATTTCAATGTCAAGTTATGACCAAGTGAAATTTTGTAGCAAATCTTTCAGAAAATGTGTTTACAGCATGGCCCTGTAAATATTTTCTCGTCCCAGTGCCCCTGGAAATGCGCTATGTGCCAGCATGGAGGCCACATGGCGCCAGTTGTGAATGGCTGATTTACACGACTTAATGCACACATGCACTGTACGCATGGATGACGAAGTGGATACAGCGCACTGCTTGCACTTCGTCCAGCTGAGTGATATTGGGACCAGCTCATTGAGATCGGAATTCAGCGAAAGCTGGTTCGGCCGCGGAGCACATTAAATAGTAAACAGGCACTACGCTTGAGGACAAGGGAAGTCACGTACAGTCTAAGCTAACCTCGTTCCTCTAGTAAATGTGGGTACTCCACTTGCCTTCCGCTGAATTCAGTTGTGGGATAGATGGTAGTTTCCGGTGAACAGTCAATAGTCATTGGAATATTGCGGGGGAAAAAAGCCGAGGCTTGACATGTCCTGCCGGATGATGCCAAGTAAAATAAAGGCAAATTAGCAATAGGAAATAGTGAACAACAGCAAATTGCAAACTTACCGGTTACAGTGTTCCCGTCTGCGCAGCTCACACCTGGCTTTTGTGTATTATCCAACGTCATCGTTTGTGGTTTCCGGAAATCGCTTTTACAGGACAGGACATGGCGGTTACATGACATGACTTTGAAGATGTGGATCTGCTCCCAGGAGAACGACTCCACGGTCTAGAGGATGATGATGATATTGCCCTAATCTGGGACAGCCCACAAACGTGCCAAGCTGCACTGGACAGATTAGCACCGGCTGTACGTCAATTCGGTCATTGCTTCGCACCGTCGAAGTGGCAAGCGCTCCTCCAAGCTTGGCCTGCACCGCCTCCTTTACTGATCCTTGGTGGCGATCAGCAAGAAGTCGTTCAAAAATTCAACTACCTGGAAAATTGTATCAGTGCCCGTTGGATTGCAGATGAGATCACGAACCGTATAGCAAAAGCTCGAGGCGCTTTTGCTAATTTTCGCCACTTATGGCGCCGGAGCGACATCACTCTTACCCCGTAAGGGTAGAGTGTACAATGCAACGATACGTTCGACCCTACTGTACGATTTCGAAACCTAGCCACTTAGATCAGCGGACATAAAGAGGCTGGTTACGTTCGACCACCGGTGTCTTCGAAATGTAGCTCACATCTGGTGGGAACACCTTGTGAGCAACCAGCGTGTTCGACGCCTTGTTTACCGCACAGGAAATGAACCGCTCAGCACCGTTATTTCACCCACCAGGCTCCGATGGCTCGGCCACGTGTTACGCATGCCATCCCACCGACTCCCGCGACGTGAGTTGTTTGCGCGCCGGGGGTGTGAATGGAAAAGAGGAGGCGTGGCCAAGCGATGACTTGGTCGAGAGGAATGAAGACCCTCACTTATAAGTTGGCCTCGGTTGGAGCGTCTCGGCATCCTGGTTGGGGTCCGAAAGACGATGAACAGTTTTGGCTGGATGCACTACTTGATATAGCTCGGAATCGCCCTCACTGCCGTTTGTGCACTGAGTTTCTTTGTCCCAACCATCCCTCTTAGCCTCCCTCTCCAAGCATGATCTTACTATTTAGTCATATATAATTTGACATAGTAATTCATTTTTGATACGCAGTAGCCGAAAGGCAGCTCACCGGAACGATGCCCATCCGTTACCGGCAACTCAGCTGCCTTGCACTTGTTGCATTTTCTCCTTTTCTACGTATTGCGGCACAGTAGCTGAGATAGTTCCCACATCTAGCTAACGTGTATAATTATGATGAGGATGATGGTTTCCGAGCAAAATAAAATGGTTGATTAGTATGTGTTTCTCTGCTGTTTGTATGGGTCGTTTGGATTACGTCATAGAACGTGGTGTGCCCAGTGCACTGTCGACACGTGTTTTGAACACGGCTAGCGTGGGGGCTGAAATAACAACTTCTGTGAGTGTATTCCACGTGTGGCAAACACGCAGCGAGAAAATAGTCCTTCGACACTCCAACCAACTGTACTGTTCTGCCAATTTCAGACGATGACCTCACATTTGGCTGTTGTGACTCAGTTTCAATAAGTGATGGCAGGGGTGATTAGTGTTTTTAATATTTGATAGACCATGATTTGGTCACCATGCAGACGGCGATAACGTCCACTGAAAATGCCCAGTAATCTGATGCGCTGTTCGTATGTTAAGTCGCGCAGTCCCTTGGCATTTTTGATCGCCCGAAGTTGTGGAAACTCAAAGACCGTGAGATCACGCTTTAGCCATGGGTGCCATGCTTATCGTTGATTTGCATTGCCGACCTCGCGCACTTTACCGAGGCAACTTTCTTGCTGTTTGCCAATAACATCAAAGTATGACCTGTATTCGTCAGTCAGCAATATCGCGATATGCTGCGACAGATCTTAGACGATCTATTTAACTTTTGTAAGCTTTTCTCCTCCGTTCAATGCGTGCAAGTGCAAAACTGTACTTGTGCACCACAAGCCCGCTAGCACTTATAACCTAAAGATAGCAGGTTGCAAACCGGCGCACTGGAGCGCGACCTTGGGGTACTGATGCGAGACGAGCTCGGCTGGTCGGCGCAGTACAATGCCGTGAACCAACATGTTTGCCTCTTACAGAGGGTGTTCAGGCTGTTCGACACCTGCATCTTCCCCCGAATTCTCGATGCGTATATGAGACCATATGTAGAGTATGTGATTCAGGCAGGCCAAACCTGTTTAAACGCTATTTGCTTCACCTAGGGAACACTCGAGGAAGAGCAACCGAAAATATGAGGGTATTATTCCACCTGCTATGATATCTCCGACTGGAATCTCTAGGATTGTACAGAGGAAGCTATCGTGGTCTACTGCGTGATCTCATGTTGGAACGCGCCAATCACGTTTGCCGCCACTTCCTGAAACCTATTGGTAACACAAAATAGTGTTCACGGGCTGAAATACGCCACCCAATACAGTTGGCTGAAATGTTTCCGGTTTTTTCAACCTTGGAAATCCCTTCCGATCTTTGTTATTACGGCACCCACGGTACTCATTTTTATTAGCGATTCCATGATGCATTACATGGCCTACATCATCTGCTTTAATTTTCGTTCACTGTGCGATGACAAGATGCAGCAAATATTTTGCACATTTACCCCTACAGAGTTTACTTAGACGGATATAAATATGTGGTAAAGTGGATAATAAGATAAGTCTAAAGCAGCGCATTGCACTTTGGTTTATCTTCTTTTTTGTACTCACGCGGTGCACTAAAACCCCACGAGCATTTTCAAGGCGTGGCTATTTCAACTGTGTTATACCATTGTTCCATGCAACCTTTTACTACCATACAGCATCAATTGTGAGCAAATTTTTCTGGATTTCCATATGATGCTCAGCAGTCCGGCTACCAAGAACTCATGTCCCATGGATCCAAAGTTATTCGACCCACTGGTCACCCGCCTAATGCATTACGTACCAGTGATCGAGAATGTGAGTGTGATTTCAGTTATTGCCGTTATCTAGTCATTTCATCCAAGGTTATGCTCGTGCTTGAAATCAACACTAGTCTGTGCTGGTTAAACCCTAATTTGCTGATTAACACTAAAGATTTTTTTCGCATTTCAATCGAAAAACAAGCAATTGGCGTTTTGCAACTCGTTACATATTCTCCTTGTGTGAGATTGCCGCTTACAGCCAAAATTCATAAAATTTACTAAATGCTCGTCTCATGAGCTCAACATGGCCAGGGTTATATCCCTGATGTGAAGAGGGACAAGAATCCAGCCGATGTTGTGTTGCTTAATTAACGCGATAAACAATGGCCTATCCTCATTATGCTTTGTTGAAGCCCGACCCACTCGGACTTTCGAAATATTTGTTCATAAGCGTCTGTTGAATCCGGACCTCGACTGCGACCGAGGTAATATGTCTCTCCAGAGTGGTGCTACTTCCTTGCGTACCGTAAACTTCATCCGACCTGAGGTTGAATTCACCGAGAAAAACGGTTTTCAATTTATTCATCTTGTTTGGTGGTCCTCAGCTTGGACACCAGGAAGCGAGAAAATCGCGGCACTGCTGCCCACACTGTAACAAAGATACCAGTCAGAAAGGCGATTCAAGGATGAACCTTGTGTACTTTATCATTTGTTCGTACCTAGATGTATTTAACGCTGGTACGTTACTCTTAACCTTTCTGTGTTGTATGTTACTGTGCAAAAAAGTCGCTTTTGGATAATAGGTCACAAAGTTACACCTTTTTCCAACTGAAACATAGGTTGAGGTGGACTGCGTTTACGTGCGTCACCGTTTTGCTTCTCGTTTGTTCAAACCCTTTTCCAATGCACTGTGAGAAGTCATCCTTACATTTCAGCCCGTCCTGTGGTCCGGAATGGGATCGTTTGTTACTGGATTGTGCTCGGCTTCGGATAGGTGCACCTCACTCGAGACAACCCTCACAGGTAAGTAGTGAGATTGGAATGCTCAGTGTGACTTCTTAATGGTTTGAAAGCAACTGGTTGATCATTTTGAAAGCACCTTACCGCTTTTGGCAAAAAAAACTCGTTTGGCCGATCAAACCAGTGGATGATTGGTGTAACCCTTCCACCAACCTTGGAAGATGATCGCGACCACTGGGATGTAGATGGAAGGGTATTCGTAGTATAGGTCAAACTTCCATTTCAGTGATGCACGTAACAGTCCCAAGTGGTCCAAGCAACGAGTTCAGCACATGTAAGTCGATAAAGTCGAGACTACAGCAATAATGAACAAGTAGGCTTAGTTAGAATAGAAGGAGGAGCACCCGTTGACGGGACCCTATAAAGTAATCGACAATGAGACTGTGAATTCAGCGGTGAATAAGGAAAAGTGAGGTGTTGATGAATGGTTAAGAAACAGTAAAGAGAAACTAAAGGCGGACAAATGGTGTTGCATATACCCGAAATTAACCCCTCCACCGAAGATGTACGGTTTAACAAAGATACATACTTCTGACGTACTCATTCAGCCTATCGTATATGGCATAGATGCATCACTGTACGAACTAGCTAGATATTTCGTTAACCTATCGCAACTGTTGACAGGGTTGACGAATATGTTCAGAAATAACTCTCAGGTGTTATCACGAAATGCCTCGCGTCCTAAGTTCTATTCGGATGAAACGATGTTTGGATTCAACGTTAACTCGATCTTCTCCATAGTGTAAAAAGCCAACGCGTTACAGATAAGAAAACACTGTTTGACGGGAGAGGGTAACTTGGGAGTGTGGACTAAGCTTACGGTATATCAAATAATCGAGAGAATGACATTGTTGCAGGCTCTCGAGACGAATTTAGTATATTTTTTCAAGTGTCAGTTGCCCTGTATCACAGTGTCCGCTCGTGCTATGCTGTGTCCCTCCAGCTATTACAGCTAATGTTGAAACCGTCACCGAGTCAGGTCGTACAGTTGGATTTTTCATTGAGAGTTACGCCTTCACTGAATTGCCATTAGAAGGTGGTGTCCTTGCTGCTTCCAGACGATTTTCTGTTCGCAACCTGCTAGGAATTTAGTCCAGTTCTCTAGAAGAGTTTGCGCCGTTAATTCTGATTGTGACACCAGTTTCAACAGCCTGGGACCTCACACCTTATAGTTCGGTGATAAGGGGATCCTTGTCAACGAGGTGGCCACGACATTTTCCAGAGGAAGAGCGTCACGGATGTAGTGTCATTGCTCCCAGTCGTGTACCTGCGCATCGTCGAAAGAGAAATCAGTTAGCTCAGGAACATCGTGAGCAATCACAGTTTACTTATCTTTACTTTATTATTCCTCCATCCGTTAGTTGACTCGGTTGCACGTTCTTTCCACAGCATTTCAGGTAGTATGCGCACTCCACTTGGGGCGTTGCGGTGTCGATTCGCAGATAGCAGAACAGCCTCTGTCTCATCCACCGAGTTCAGTGTCACTCGAAGTAATCGGGGTTCACCTTAGTGCAATGCGTTTTGGGTGACGCGAGATGCCTTTTAAAGTCGTGGGATCAGTATGGACACCGACTGCCGTGCAGATGGAACTCCATTGGTTTCGATCATCTGTTAGCCTAGCCTTGATTGTATTGGATTTTGCTTCGGGGACTTTAGTGCACACAAGGTTTAAGGCACCATGGTTGCGCCTGGTGGATACTGGTTTTGAAGCCTTAGTTTCCGGTGCTTTTGTTGAATTTGTGAACGGCACTGATGGGGCCATCCGTGCTGCGATTTTTAGTTTGCTCTAGTCCGGCAACTAAGGTTATCGGTGCTATTTCCGGTGTTTCTTGGCGGCGTATGTTGTCTGGTTCCTCATTATGCCTGGTTGACTGCAGCTTAGGTTCTGCTGTATAGCGAACAAACTACTAGGTGTTACACATTGTGCAGAAGTTCAAGCAGGCACGCTGTAGACAATGTTTTTACTTATGGGAGAGAAAGAGAAGGGGTTGGTACTGATTAAGTCTGAGACTTCGGGGTAAGGTTGGGGCACCAGGCTCTGGGGTGTTATTTGCACATACAAGGGCAGGTCCGTTTCCTCTCATAGGTGTAACCCTGGCGCACACCAGTTGCTTGACTGCTTCTGTTAGTCTTTCACACTTCTTCAGTGGCACAGTTAGACAGCTAACAATTGGGATAGCACTACATACTGGGGCAGAACCAAAACTCCTCTGTCTGGTTATTGTACAGTCTCGTTTTTATTGACCCACTTCCAAAGCATTTTGTGTGATAGGTTTTCAAGCCACTGCTGAAAACTAGCCTACGCTTCACCAAGTTAACATAAAAATCACAAACGCTTTTAACTTGAGACATGTTTGCCGAGGGCGTGAAGTTCTAAGTTAAAGCTTTTGTCGGATGATCAGTTAGTGCAACCTCCCGCGTCAATGCTAAGCGTGAGTCAGCTTGGCGAGCCCGCTCTCAGCGGTGATCCTTTGTAAGCACACGTTGCAGTGTTGGTCTGTTGACCGATCGATGTTTGGGACTTAGTAAATGAACCTAAACACAACGCTGAACACAGTCAGAGAGATCAGAAATTTCCCCACACATGCGTTGAAGAACACACGCTTGCATTAAGCTAAGGCTTTTCGGACTGCCTCGAGAATACTGCACCGAATGGCGTTACACAGAAGCGCAATGGGCACAAGGTAAATGAGTTAACCGCTCGTGTAAAAACGCGGACGACAGTCCAATCCGTCAGCGACAAATAAAATGTTAGGGCTTAAAGATACTTCCAACAATGATAGATCACCGTGTAGAGCTGGTAAACCCGGTTGGAATGAGCGTACGGTGACTACACTGCGAGAACAGAGACAGAAGTTATAGAGGATTCTTCTCAATGACCAGGAAGCAGGTGTGTCAAGCGTGGAATTAAAAAACCTTGTAGGACACTGGATTTCCTTACCAACGTGCTGGTGGAAGCGCGTTCTGCTTTATTCTTTGGCATCTTACAGCGTAAAATAAAACCTCTAGGGCACGAATTCTGCTGAAACATATTAACTAGGTGGTCTTCTTCCACCTTCCTCAGATACAGCATGCTACAGTGTGGTTGGGTCCGTATGAAAATTGTTCTGACGAAACTGAGTTTGTACATAGCCGAGCGGTTACTGCAATAGTTTAATATCTGCTCAGTGTGCGCCGCTTTTCGATAGACTTTTGTTTCCAGGGGCGCGGAATCATGTTTTTTGACGAGCACGTCCAACAATGGCAACTGGTCATTGTTCTCCTCCTCTTTGGTGAAATGAATGCCAGGAAAAATATTATTGATAAAGTGATGTGTTTCTTGTAGTTGGAAGCGATTGATGATGAACAAATTTGCGTCCACTTAACGTACCCAGACTTCGGGCTCCGCCATCGGCACTGCCTTTTGTTCCACTGGTTGCGTCACTGCCTTGGCTACCAGTCCAGAAATTAGTGCACCCATTGGCGTGCCCATTATCTGTTTGGACGTTGGACCATTGAAAGTGAAGTGTGTGACGAGACAGAAATCAAGCAACTCCATCATTTGTAGAACTCCAATTCTGTTGTTCGTAGTTACCGCTCGTGTTGTTCAAGTAGGGTCATGATTGTTTGCCTTGCCAACTTCGGGTCAATTGATGTGAATAAAACCATGACATCAAAGGATGCCATCAGCTCGTTTCTTTTATTGTTATCCCGTTGAGTTTTTCAAAGGACTCTCCTACCGATTTGATTGAATCCTCGGAGTCTGTGGTTAGGTGTTTTAGCCGTTTCCAGAGTTCTATGGACAGCTTGTAAATCAGTACCCCAGGTAACGACAACATAGGGCGAAGCGGCACCCCATTTGGTGTAATTTGGGTAGACCCTAGAACAGTGATATCACTGAATCCTCGGGTTTCATTTTGCTGTGTTCTAACTTCGTGCTCCTTTCCATTTGTTCCAGTCTTTGAAGTGCTCGTTTGATCTGGCTTCCCAGACGTTTTGTAGGATCTTCAGTTATCAACTGGTAGGTGTTCAGATCTCCGAGCAGTCCTTGTGCCTCCTACGTGTAGCCAGCTTTGTCCATTATCCCAGTGGCACGTCCCTTGTCGGCCGGCAATATGGCAATAGTTTAGTCTACTCCTAGGCTTCTCAGTGTCTTTTGTTCTCTTATGTTATACATGTTCTTTGCTACTTTGTGACTCAGAGCGGGGATGTTGTTGTGTCAAATTACATTTTGGGCTTCCGCTGCGATGTTGCATGTGGTTAGCGTCGACTTAAGTGCGGCAACGAAATTAATGGTATTATCATCTGTAACAGACTTGCAGACCTCGCACAATGACTGCTCATTCTGTATCTGATAGAGTTCGTTTGGATAGATTCTTAATCTAGGTATCTTCTTCATTTACTAGGTTTTGTTGCGAGATCTGTCCGGCTTCTCTTTTAGATTCTGATTTGTTTGAAGCTTCGTCATGTGAATTCTAATAGTTAGCACTTTCCCAAACTCTCTGGTCAACTGTTTTCCGATATTAGCCAAACATATCTTCCTTCGTTGGTCCATTACCCTTTAATACTTTTCCCGTCGGTGGTGTGCATCCGTGTTCAGTAGATGTAACTCTCGTCGCCCATGTTTATATATATATATATATATATTTATATGGCGGGAGAGCCTATGGTGCGCCGAGGCTGGTGGTGGCTAGATCCTGACAGATGGTCTACAACTGCTGCTACTGCTGCGCCATAGTCTCATGTCCTGGGCGCCTCCACGTGGCGACCGCTGGGTGGGAGTTGGGTTTCGCCCTTCTCCCTGTTAAGATCAAGGACACCAATCCGCATAAGTCGGCTAACTGACCATGTGCTAGACTCGCTGCCTTTCGGGTGTTCATTTAATCGAAGGCTTTGGCTGAGGACCCGAGTCGTTCTCCTGTCAGGATTGGGCGCCCTGCCAGTATCCTAGTCCATCCTCTTCGGAGGTTAGGAAGTGGTCGATGGCCCTCTTCCCGTAAAACCTAGCAATGGGAGACAACAGGTTTACGGGTTGTATTCTCAAAGCTCGATTGGCGTAGAGCACGAGTGCCACGCATTGTCTCTGACGGTGGGAGGACACCTCCGGGTGTTCAATGGTTTGCTACTGCCCGCCTCAAGCCAGGCAGCCCCTGGTCAAATTGGTGCAAACCCGCCAAAACCCACCTGCGTCTGGCCGTGGTCGCAGGTGCGTATCCAATTACTGTCGCAAAACATATGATAATTGTTCCAAAACCTCAAAGGCTGCGTGTGACGGCCGTCAAGCAGATCCCAATCTGTCTTTGCAATCACATTCTCGAGCTGGATCACCTCTCCACTGCCTTGTGGGTCAGGCTATTGAGCCTAAGGCTCCGGGTGGAGTCCCTCAAGCAAACCTCCAAACCACCCACTGCCTTGAGCGTCGGGCTATTGAGCCAAAGGCTCCGGGTGGAGTCCCTCAAGCAAACCTCTGAAGCACAACGACCACCTCGCGCGCGATTGCCCACCAATGCAATCGTATGCCTGCGCGCAAAGCACTCAGCATCGGGTGCTGGAAAGTGCGCACACTACTGGACCGGAACTCGAGCGAGCGCCCGGAGCGACGCACTGCACTGGTCGCGATGGAGCTGGCGCGGTACAACATCGATATTGCGGCGCTCAGTGAAACTCGGCTCGCTGAGCAAGGTAAGTTGCATGAAACAGGTGCTGGATACACATTCTACTGGGCGGGGAATGCCGCCTCAGCACCACGTGAACATGGGGTCGGATTTGCAATATCCGACCGCCTGAATGGCCAGCTAGTGGGTGAACCAACGGGCATCAGCGCGCGACTGATGACTGCTCGCCTACGACTCGGAAAAGGTAAGTTTCCAAACTTTATAAGTACGTACGGTCCGACCATGTGTTATCCTGATAACGTGCGTGATCAGTTCTAGACTGAGCTATCCTCCGTGATACGGTCTGTGCCGAGGAGCGACCGACTATTTCTGCTGGGTGATTTCAACGCGCGCGTTGGGCGTGATGCATCAGCGTGGACAGATGTTATCGGTGCGCATGGCATTGGTTCAGCGAATGCAAACGGTGACAGGCTGCTCTCACTGTGTGCCACTCACGGCCTGACGATCACGAACACTCGGTTTGCACTGAGTGCGAGTGATATAGCAACTTGGACGCACCCACGGAGTGGTCACACTCACCTGCTCGACTATGTCATCGTACGTCAGCGTGATATGCGTGAAGTGCATATGATACGTGTACTGAGTGGAGCTGAGCGTGGCACTGATCACAAATTGGTTCGGACCAAACTGTACATATATTTTCGTAAATCTGTGTATTGCACTCCCGCCGTGAATCAGCGTAAATTTAACATTCTCTCCCTCGGTACTGTGGCGAAACGTACTGAGCTGGAGAAGGCGATGGCTGCACGCCTGTGTGGTGATGTGGACTGTATAGCCACAGTGGGCGACCTGTGGCACCACATTCGCAATCAGGTGACAACTGCTGCCGACGAGACCATCGGGCGCGCAAACTGTAAACGGCCTGATTGGTTTGATGACAACAATGTGACGATTGGCGCATTGGTGTTGGAGAAGAATGCAGCATTTGCTGCACATGCTGCAGACCCCAGTGACTTGGGAAAGAGTAGTCAGTTTCTCAAACTTCGATGGCGACTGACCCGAGAGCTCCGTCGCATTAAAAAAGTATGGTGGACGGAGAAGGCGAAACAGATGGAATGCTACGCCGAACGCAGCCAACACAAGGAATTCTTTGACTCCTTGAAGGCGGTGTATGGACCGAGATTGGAGTCGCTGAGGACACTGATCGATGGTAGTTCAGGCGCTACCTGCACACAGACTGCAGACATAATGCAGGTCTGGCGGAAACACTTTGACTGTCTCTTGAACAACCGTTCAGAGATCGACTGGCCTACATTGAACGGCGTGAAGCAGCACGATGTGAAGGCGGATCTGGCAGATACGCCGAGACTGGATGAGACGCGGAGAGCACTTGCTCAGCTGCGAAACGGCAAGTGTGCCGGAGGTGACGGGATCCCGCCTGAAGTATTGAAACACGGTGGACCCGCGTTGTTGACTGCGCTGCACCACTTGGTGCAACGCGTGTGGATTGAGGAGGAGGTGCCTCCTGAGCTGAAGGATGCCCTTGCGCTACCACTGTACAAGGGCAAAGGGAGCAAGCAATGTTGCACGAATTATCGTGGCATCAACTTGATGAGTTGTGTGGGCAAGGTGATTGCCCGAATCCTGCTCAACCGCCTCGTCAGTCACGTTGTGGAACCTCACGTGGCGGAGGAGCAATGTGGATTCCGTTCCGGTCGCAGCAATATAGATATGGTGTTTGCGGCTCGTCAGTTGCAAGAGAAGTGCAGAGAACGACACCAGCCTTTGTACTCGCTTTTTGTTGACTTCACCAAGGCATTTGATACGGTGAACCGCGAGGCATTGTGGCTGGTGTTGGGTAAGTTTGGTTGCCCGCGTAAGTTTGTAAGTTTAATTGGATGTCTGCACAGTGGTATGCGAGCGAGGGTGCAGCTGAGTGGAGAGACCTCGGAGGACTTTGCAGTTGTCTGTGGTGCGAAGCAAGGCTGTGTTTTAGCTCCTGCCCTGTTTAATATATAGCTTCATGCAATGTTGTGCTTTTGATGCGGCTTGTGCTTACGGTGTTCGTGTGGAGCACCGTATTGATGGTGGGTTGCTGAACATCTGTCGTTTCGGTGCGAGAACTCTAGTCTGTGAGACAACTATCCGTATGTTGCTGTTTGCTGACGACTGTGCGTTGTTTTCACACAGCGCAGATGAGTTGCAGCACATGACTAGTGCTCTGGCTTCGACAGCGGCCAAATTCGGGCTCACCATCAACACAAGCAAAACTGTCTGTCTCTTTCAGCCTTCACCGGAGGTGCAATCTTCAATATTGCCGCAAATCAGCATTGGTGCTGAAGAATTGGAAACCACCTCCCGCTTCTGCTACCTTGGGAGTGTGATGTCGACTGATCAGCAGCTACACAGTGAGCTGCGTATTCGCGTGTCGAAGGCAGCGGCAGCATTCGGGAAGCTTGAGTACCGAGTGTGGAACAACCATCAGCTTACCATTGGCACGAAGCTGATGGTGTACAAATCCATAGTACTGTCCGTTCTTCTATACGGCAGTGAAACGTGGACAATGTACCGTCGGGATGTGCGATATCTCGAGCGGTTTCACCAGCAGTGTCTGCGACGAATTTTGCGGATCGGTTGGGGCGCCAGAGTTGCAGACATGGAAGTGTTGCGCCGAAGTGGGATGTATGCAGTGGAGTGCATACTTTTACTGAGACACCTGAGATGGCTCGGTCATGTGAGCTGTATGGATACGACTCGGATACCGAAACAACTTTTATGCGATCAGCTGAGTATTGGGAAGCGGCACGTGGGGAAACCAATTTACGTTACCAGGACATGATTAAAGTGAGCCTCACACGTTCTAATCTTGATTGCAGATCATGGGAATCGAAGGCGGTTGATCGGCGTGCATGGCGCGATCTAATCACGAAGGCAGTTACTGAAGTGCGAGAGAAAGCCCTCATGCATGCAGAGAAGAAGCGGCAAGTGCGGAAGCGGCAAGCACCGATGGATTGTAGTTCATTGACATCGAGTGCATAGTGCTGTAGAACATGCGGTCGCGAGTGCCTTAGTCAGGCAGGCCTAGTGAGCCATGAGCGAGGCCACTCGGGACTATTATCGAAGCGACGACGGGTTCTGCAGAGAACATAGGCAGAACCGGAGCAGCGTTTTTAGGTACGCCGCATTCGATTTACTAACGGCGTGCTTGCATGCTAAGTCTCTTTATTCCAGGTGGTGGGTTTTCAATTTTGCCTTAATGCTTTTCTTTCTCATATAAATGTCTACCTGTACTCTATTTCATTAACTTGCACCCCTCGCTTAAGCCAATTGTATTCGATTTCCATAACATTTTTGTGTTCGTAGCATTTCCGGATATTATACTTTCTCACCTCGTGAACTTATCTAG